CGCTTCTTTCCTGAAGAATGCAGTGGCGTCTGGCGACACGCCGTGTGCATTTTCAATCTCCACGGCATGAAACCGCTCTTTACGCCCGATTCGCCGCACCTCTTTGTGAACAAATTTGTGATGCACATCAACGCCGACGTGATGAGCGTGACGGAGCAGTGGTTCTACGACTGGCAGGACTGGTACTACCGCCATGCCGACCAGAATATCACCAACCTTGACTACTACCGAAGCCTGCCACAGGTGCAATATCAGTCTGCGCGCAGAAACCAAAGTCCCTGAGTTACAATCTATGTGTAATTATATTTTTGTATGCAGCCGATGCTGAGTGTTTCTCTTTCACAGAAAATCATGCAATTACGCAGCCAGAACCGCTGTTGGTCTTTCCGCAAATATTGTTGGTCACTTATCGATGCATCTATTTTGCAGTCCCGTTTGGAAATCAGAGCTATGAGTAATTCATTTAATGAGTGGTAGGATCCAACGCTAGCAAACATGTGGAGGATGAGGTTAAATAAGCTCGATTACTTTCAGTCCTCAGCTAATGACATTAACACATGGCTAGTTGCCGTTAGAATAAATGTAGGGTAAGGAGCATGCAAATTAACCACTTAATTCACGCAACAACAAACGATGTAAAATACCTTTGTAATCGTGCTTGGTTTTCGATTGAATGATTTCATTGTGAAGACGAGCACTGTTCTAGCGCTTTTGCTACTTGTTCTTCTGTAAAGTAATCACGCAGAGTTCGCACGAGTGTAGGCATGGTGTAGTTTGTGGGATCAATGGCACGGGTGTGTTCAGTATGTGAATTTCGAGTAACAGACTTCGGTGGGTTCACTAACCACTGCCGAATTAAAAGTTTTGAATGTGTTCATTTTGTCTAATTGTGCGTCTGCAAAGTCATTTTCAGCTTCTCACACAAAGAAGCTGCACAATTCAAGCCAATTTGTCGCAGGTAACTTTGTAGTGGACTGCCAGCGACTGTGCGTTAGCAAAGCTTTCATATAAAAGTGTTGATTTCAATTATCCATCCCTGCTTCGCCTTGGTGACTGTTATCAGTCGCCTGTTACGCACACGCACTCATCCTCACACAAAGAAACTAGGCTGGCTTGACGCTAACAGACGGTCGTCTCGTGTTGTATCACACGTACCGACAGCGGCTGTTGACTTATTAGCTTTTTGCTGCCTCACAGCCTCTTTGAATACCTAGTAATCTTATTTCTCACCTCATCTACCTGCTTGATGAAAGCTTTCCTGTGATTCATGTGTGCCGGTATCGAGCTCTGTGCTTGGTAACCACATCAATGCCTCTGGAATGTGTGCGTGCTGTTTTAGGCGGATGCGGACAGTGTGTCCACTAATCACCAGAGGTCCAACAAACCAATCGACAAGCAGGACAAAATGACAGGTATGGTGTACGAGAGCCGCATCTAAAAGACCCGAATTTGTAGCCATGTCTATCTTAGTTAAAACTTGATTTTAGAGGACTAGTGGATAGCCTCATAATTAAGGTAGACAACTTTCTCAGTCGACATCAGCATTATCGATCACGTCCGCCACGTCGTCCTCTCAGCGGTATTCAGACGGATTAAGTTGGTACAGTTTGCAGATTGATAAATTTGCAGACGTAAAGTCGGGAACCTCACTGGAGCACCAGGGCCCTAAATCTTTAACGCCATCGATGAAGTTGTCTGCCCCTTGTGATCAAGTACATCCATCAATTTCCATACTTTGCTTTTAGAATTCTCAGCAGTCAGACTTGATTGTTTAGCAACGTTTCACTCTTGGCGGGCTAACTGTTTGTGTAGTAAACCAATTTAGTCCTCGTCCTTGGCCAGTAGGCATCGAATGCAGAACTAATCGGTGGGGTGCAGATATGCTGCATGGTTCCCGAGTTAAGCAATTATATTTTGCATCGTCAGACACCACAGAACTGCGGCCAATCAAGATCAAGCATGTCATTATTCAAAGGATAAGCCATGAATGGGACTAGCAGCTTGAAATAATGTTTTGGATAATGTGGTCGAGGTTAGATCTGTTGTCCGTGGACAATTAAATGCCACTTCAAAGATCTTAGTTCTCAGCCCTCACATTACGGCACGTGGTCATGAGTTTTTCAGCCTGTATTTAGACTTTGAGAGACGTTTTCATTGTGATCTGAAGTGGTAGGCACTCACAGATAGCCAATCGGTGCATATATCCTTAATATCTTGGTCCATCAGCTGACATCAGCCATGATGAATTCATTCAGTCGGAGCTGTCTAACCATTCACTAGGCCAATTTATGCAGAGTTTCACCATTAAGTAATGTAACATCCGCCAAGATGGCACCCAAATTTACAAATTCGACGCAGCCAACAGCGAGCGCAAACTCACATTGCTCATCGTTGCCACTCTTCTTCCTAACAGCTCCTGGCCGGACTGACACTATGCTTCACTTGATTAATCTTATCCCACTCCATCACTTTATCCTCTGCTCAACTGTCACGATTTATCCGTAAAGCTTACCTGTGATGCGGTCTGTTCACGAATTAAGCAATTTAGCCTAAATCATTCGAAAATATTTGAGCACTCATAAACCTTTTGCAGCACTGCATTATATCCCGTTTCTGGTTTATCGATCCAGGTGACCCAGGGGAAATTGTGATTCACAGCCCAAAGTCCGATCCCCTCGCAATTCAGACGTTCCAAGCCACGCTCATGAACAATATGGCAGGCTACAGTTTCCATCTGTGAACACACAAACTGCAAACCAAGTTGTAGTGACTTGAGGATTTAGCACTACCTTACAACCCTCTAGTTAGCAGCCCGTAGCTACCCGAGGATAGGAAAAAGGAGGCGACAGAGAACACGACCGTTTATTCGAGTCGAACCAGCCAAGTGGCTTTGTGTGCGTATGAGCACGCGTGCGTAACAGGCGAATGCTGACAAAAATCAATAACAAAAGGGGATGAGTCATCGCCACACACGGGCCTTCATGCACGCACACTCGCGCGGGGCGGCTGTCAGTCCACTACAAAGTCACTGCACAATGTGATGAAGAGTCATTCAACTTCAGTTTAGTTCCGCCAACGAAAAACATGATTATGATTAATCTGTGTCAAGCTCAAGTGGCTTTTGTCACACTGTTTGCGTACCACTGGTTGGATGGATTATGCTTTGATGTAAAGCACTTTCTGTTTATGTGGTTGGTGATCGAAGCAGAGACGAAAGCTACTGCTGCTAGTTCGTCACATGCACTGTCCTCCTCCGTGTTACAAATCAACATTTGTTGATCGGAAAAGCTGTAGCGGCTTCGTTAGCACTAACTTCCAACCCTGCTAGTCTATAGTACGTAACAGCCCGAGAAGGAAAACATGACCGATGATAGCGAATATTACGACTTATTTATATTTGACCACCCAAGTCTTTTATAGCAGAGCGCGTGGGTGAATATCGAAGGTCAGATGTAATCGATAATCGATGACATCCGATCGATTCGTGAATACGCTTCACTCACGCTCGTTTGCTGAAAACTCACTGCAAGGCGAACTGCTTCACAAGAGACTCGGAAGATTTGAAGTGGACATTTGGCAGTCGAAAGGGTGTAGTGGTGTCCTAACACTACCTTACAACCATGCGGGTTTAAGGCCCGTAACATCCAGAGATTAGAGACAAGACAGGTGACAGCGGATGCGACCGCTTGTTAGGGTCAAGCCAGCCAAGTACCTTTGTGTCAAGATGAATGCGCGTGCGAACAAGCTACTGATACGGTAACAAATCAAATAGGAATGAGTCAGCGGCAAAATCAGGTCAGTAAAGAGGCTTTACTCATGCATGACTGCTGACAGTCTGCTACAATGACTAGCAATGCGGTCAAACCAAACAACCAAACTGGCTGATTGTGCATATTGTTTTGAAGGTGCACTCAAACCTACTGTTGCGTAGTGCTTATTTAACTCAAATGTTCAAATAATCAAATTCAACGTTTTCCAAGATTGGTGCTAACGGAATGAACATTGATGGAAGTGTAAAGCATAAATCTTTGTTTCGACTAAGTGTCTCTGGAAGACTGTCAAAGCGATTATGGTGAGGTTAATTTTTTTTGGTTAGACAAACACTACTGAAAGCCATGTCCTGACTGAGAATAATGGTGAAAGCAGACCGAAAATTGATTAATTGATAGCCCCCACACCGTGGGTAAGAAATTTTCCGTTGAATACACTGAAGCCATCTAGTGCTTAGTGTGGCGTCGGATCAGGGTGCAGAAATGTTGGACCACCTGGCCGCAGCCAATCCCGTGTCTCTCTGCGATCCAATGGCATGCGGGAAAAGAAGGCAGCCAACCAGAGAAGGACATGGATGAGATGCAGTATATAATGAGCGGCGTGGACAGCGTGGTGGACTCGGATGGAGGGCGCCTAACGCGTGGCTCTGGCTTCTGATTGGTCAATAAAGCCTGTTCTGTTGTACCAATCTTTTTCCTATTGGAGCTCGGGTATTCTACATTAGTTTGTTACAGACGCCTCTAATGATGATGATGATGATTACATATTGTGGTGACATTGGAGTTACGCTATAAGGCTTTCAACCTCTCTATCTTTTCCATATTCACTTGATTTCTCTACAAATATTATACACTTGCAGAAATATACACTACAGTCCCATTCGCAAATAACCTAGCTGGAAAGAGGCAGCTATTTCATTCGCTTTTTTAATCAAAATCCAACACACTGGTTTGTGCTTAATTTCAAGTGTTTTGCCCGAGTAACTCCATTCTCCCACCCTGCATCGTTTGATTAATGGCAGCTCAAAAGCACACAGAACCACAAAATTCGGCACCCCTGAGTTTGTTAGTCGCGCTCTATAAATCAAAGCAACATTCCACGGATTCCGCATTCCAATTTGGCATTCTCCATGTTTGAGGCTATTCCCGCACTCATGTGATACTTGCTTACATGAAGTGTCAAAATATGTGTGCTTTTGAAAATATTGTGAATTGTCACACGCAGTGGTCACGGTCAGTGGCAGAACCTTCACAACAGGATGCCTGCTGAGTGTGGATAAATAAGGGGCAGTTGATATCCGACTCGCTATAATGAACGGCAGCACCATCAGAGCCGACTCTCAGGCATCCGTCAAGGAAACGGGACTGATGAGTACCCGGTGCGTTCTAATTGCCAAACACAGGTAAAGAGTGTATGAGTAAACGGTGTAGGTGAGTAAACCGAGGCTCAAATTGACAGCACGAGGGATGGTGTGCAGAACTTATGTGTGAAATTTACGTTTGGGGGACGTTTTGGAGATCGAGCGTTCCAAACACATCAATTTTCAAGGTCATTACGATTTATTTTTCACTATCAACTGACTAATGCACACCAACATTCATATTCCCATCCTTCTCTCCATTGGCTCGTACACCTTTGAGTGTGCAATTTCTCTTACCCGCACTCAAGGCCACCCACGCCATACATAAGAGGGCGAATATAAACGACACTTGGCCATTGGCTGAGACAGCAAGAGCCCTCTGCATTAAATCGTGTCTTGCATAAGTGCTAGTCTGGGAAGCTTATCAGGGGCACTCAGGGATTTGCATCTGTGTACCGGAAACCGTGGACATAAGTTATCCCAGAATGAAATCGCAGACCCCTTAAGATGATGGTCGATGAGAAACACGGAGGAGGGAACAAGCTAGAATACGAGGGGCATTTAGCAGGCCAGAGCGGTGAAATATCGCGGAACATTATTTATACGTTATACAATTTCAAAGGCCAATATTCTTGTACAAGCTCGGTACACAAGATATTTGAAGAGATGTGCAAATGGCACCAGATTTGATTCTAGTCAGTGAAAAATACCCTGATTCCGCAGAATCAGATACGACTGGAGAAAACTAAATCAGCTGAACGCCCATTCCAAACACGACATGATGTTTACCTGTTAAAGAAAGTATGTGCCGCACATCTAAAACGAATATAGTAATTCACCTCATCCCGGTAACTATTTGTTATTAGAATTTGAACAGTGTAAACACCAACAAAAGGACATACATTGAACAAGAGTTAGCAGCTCTTTCCGATTGAATTTATAAAATAGCCATATTGTGTGGTTCGTTAGGCTTCTTAAGTTATTTTAGTATTTTGAATATTCGCCTCCTTATTGACTGAGCACTTCCACAGCGACCTTACTTGGGAACATAAAATGTCTCATTAATACAGCCACTATGTGGTAGGAAAAATGTAGGAAAAACAATCAGCCAAAATGACGGTGGATAGGTTATATTATAAATCTAATAACCTTAGGACTGAAGAGATATCTGTAGGTAGATTGAGCATATTTGAAAATACAACGATTTATTCAAGTTAGACATGTTAGGAACTATTTTAGATAATTAGAATCATTTATAACATAAGTTAGCCATAATACTCATTCAAATACAAGACTATACTATCTTTTAGTTCTTGCAGTGCATTTGCGAAATTAAACCAAATAATGAATAAACGCTACACCAATGAAAATGTCCAAAGCTAAACTGATGCATAGGATAAGACTAGCTGGGAATAAAAAGATAACGACGCTCACTCAGAACTTTTCGTTTACAAAGTCGAGCTCTTATAAATTATGTCAACAATTTCGAGAAAATATACACAGACCAACTTCAATATCCAAAACTTCTACGTCGATTTAGTTTAAAAGATATTTCATTAACGATCCATTAGTTTATACTTAAATGTAAATGAAAATCTGACAATGAAACAAGGACACTTTTGACCTCATGGCGACATAACAATGTAACTAATTTTTCTGCTACGCATGCGATCAGTCTTTTAATAGCTAGTTTAATTACGCACTTTTAAAGAGGGTATTTTAAATAACTATCATAAAAATGAGTCTAAAAAGTCATAAAATCCAAATGGAAATGGATGCGCTTTGTTTAGCCCACCAGCGGAATTTTAAACTAATAACACCAACCATTCATTTGCATCTAACCCCCTTTAGTCGTTGTGAAGTTGTGCTTCTTGTCGTTTGTCTGACATAATACTGCCCATTTACAATGTTAGTATTGTTTTGTCCGATATTTGTATGTCTATTGTTTAATTATGTACAAAAATCTGAGATCATCAAGCACATCAAATGAGCCTTGCTAATTTCACGTCATGCCATTCCCATTTGCCATTCTGACTTTAAACGTGGCCTGCGTATGTGGGTTTGCTAACACATGTAGAATGATAGCTTCCCGTTAGTTCTTGTATTTTACTGCAGACTTTGTATGACACAAAGCTTGCACTAAAAACTATTATCCTTTGCTCTCAGTTATGAGGAAATGGTGTTCCTGAGACGCATTTTCATAAGTGAATAAGTTGTCGGTTTATTAGTGGGTATTATAATTGTTGCTGCGAGTTTGTCGTACAGTCGTGATTCCGCATTTGAAGCATCACGTCTGAAGCTCAAATTGTTTATGGCAATCTGTATGGTCACTTTTAGTGCAGTCAATACCGAAAAAATTTTCGTATTTGTGGAACGACAATTTCGTACGACAGGGCACGTTATTGATAGCATCTTCATTTTTAAGTATCCGTTCCTTTTAGGTGGTGCCTTCGGTTGTGTTATTACATCCCTGATTACATGATGGCATAAAACTTCACAATGTCCCTGTTTGGTGTCCTGATTCTCCCCCTTTTTGTCCATCTTGCTGAACAGGGATTTATTCACGAAATCGGACAATATGAGGCACTAAATTATGCCGTTCTTCAGCCCCCTCCGATCCGTTCGAAGCGCAGCCTCGACTCAAGTCATTCATCCTTCACTTTCTATGCATTCGGTCGAAATTTCTCATTGGAGGTTTACCGTGATGATAGTGTATTTTCACCGACAGCAAAGATAGTCGTTAGTGGAAGATCTCTTCCGCTTGCAAGTGAAAGTGGCTTCGGATATCCCGTACGTGGCTATGTAAAATCTCACCCCGGAAGTCTTGTCTTTGGAACCATCCTCGGTGGTGTATTTCGGGGCACTATAGCACTGAATGTTCACAATTTGAAACTTCTTCTGGACAATTCCCAGGCAGTAGACGATGTTTATTTCGTAGAGCCTGCAGGTAATTTTTTGGCCGACCCCAGCTTCCACTCCCTAATTTATCGAGCTAACGGAACGAAGGAGGATTCGCTGGTGAAGCGAAATCGTAGAAATGTCAATCCTACTGAACCTGCCTTTTGTGGTCACTCCAACCCCATCATCTCACAAAGACTTCGAGAAATGTCAGAGCCCGTCCCAGGTGAGTCGAATTAGCCACTTTCTAACCAGCTTCTCTAATCATCTTCAACTCAGTAAATATGTTCGTGCAGTACGTGTTTACGGACGATAAGACGATTGAATGCACATCGTCAGTAACCGTAAAAGATCAGGCACTCATACTTTTTTCTCAGATTAACTCCTTTTTCCTCTTTCCGCTTGTAAAGTGGTTCTCAAACGTTTAAGAAATGAAGCCAATCAGACCACTTTTCAGGCTTCCATAAATTTCTTGTTGATCGGTCATTACTGCAAATATTCATCGCTTTAAAATTCGACTGTGTCCACCCTGGCCATCAACCTCAAGACCCCGTCAAAAATGGCAGTTTGTTTCTTTTTCAGTGCTCTAATCTTGCAGATAATGAATTTCCCGTAATTGATGCTTGCTTACCAGCTATTTCGACAATCTGTTTGCTTTCCTTGATTCAATAGCTTGTAACCATTTATTAACTTGATTCCATAAAGTAATTCTGAGGAAAACTAAGCAGTAATGCAAATGTGAGTTTATTCCGAGAACACTCTCGATCGTGTTTATTTACTGTCTGTTTGGCATCATGTCTTAGTATGGTATTACACAAATAACTTAGTAAATTACTCACTCTTTCAGAATGCGAATCCAAAATGTCGAAGTGCTCGAACCGTTGGTCATCCAAACCATGAAATTTACAATGCTTAATTGTACATACCACCAGTTTATTTTCTCTGAATATTTTCGACCAGAACAATGTGACGTGAAAATCCCATTTTCACCTTTTTTCTTCACGATAAAATGGGTCATCCATCAAAGCTAATTTGGTTTATTTTGACTTCTCTTGATAAATAAGCCTAATGGTGTTCGAGCGTTGCTTAAAACTCGTTTTTGGTACATTTCCTGATGTTTTAACCCACATGATTGAACTAGCGCAATTCTTTAGGTTAAGCGACTCTGACGTTTTATTCTTAATTTGTTGAATTTTCCAGAACAAGCAAGGTTTTATGACAATTTCTCGTTTTCCCTAACGCCTCCTCCAAAGCGTTGTTTGTTGTATGACAGCCGAAAATTGACGTTTAAATATTCCCACACCACTGCGATCAAAATTATTAATCTACAGGTACACCATCAGATTTGATCTTATTTAACTAGCCTCACAGGGCTTCGTCCAACCTCCCTATCGTAGTCGATTTTCTCGATTTTAATGAATATACCGCGCAAGGCTTCATTTATTCTACGCATCCTTGAAGAAGCAGGTTATGAAGACTGTTCATTTACACTTTTACTAGCACAAGGACACTTTGTATAGCAAATAACCACCTTCTTCCTGAAACCTCCGTTTTCTAGATCAATTTTTACGTTCTTTGTGTTCAAACCTCGTCCCATGCTGAACGAATTCTAATTACATCCGTATTTTACAGCTTTCATCCCGCGAATTCCCGTTACACAAACTTGTAGGCTGTTACTGCTGAAACCAGATTTGCTGCTATTCTATTTTTTTAGCTTCCATAATTAATGCTTTTCGTTCTTTGAAGATGGGTTGCTGAAAATCGAATAGATGTTTTCTATGGGCCTTAGTGTTTGTACGAGAAATACTAGTCATATGTAAGGAACCATCCCTGACTTCATTTCACGCACTTGGCAGTTCACCCTGTTTTTTTGTAATTGTATAGTGAGGCGTTTTGGTCGATCCGTTGACGGGATACTGGGTCACCGACGCCAGCCCCCTGCCACGTCTCTGGCCTCGTCACATTATCGGGTCACAGACCCCCCCGAGACCTCCTTTCATTACCACTCGACTGGCGCGGGCAGCAACCCGACGAGGGTACCCGACACAGGTCCGACTTCGCGGGTGTGCAATCTCTACCTCCAGTCCGACACCTTTCTCTGGGATCACATAATCCAACTTCCCCACATCCGGGGCAACCGGGATTTAGCCATCAAGGAAATCGCGTCGATTTTTACGCAGCACGTTCAAGGAGCCCAAGCCATCTACCAATACACAACCTTCAGGGATGTGTCGGTAAGTCGTCGGTGCGTATTCCATGCACAATCTCTTTAACTCGACTAACTACCTCAATCTTAGTCGAACCCTCGACAGAACTTATACCATAACTGTGGCTATTCTATTTAATTCTACCATTGGTGGTTTCAGAGATGCTTGAATAGGTGCTGAGGCCGTACCTAACATCACATATATATCATTATCTGGTCGAAGTGCGTACACCTCTTCCTGTAGCCTAGGTCCCTATAAATGGATTTGAATGTGGCGTGTGCATTGAGCTCAGTGTAGGTCAACGAAATGGTATCGCCTCCTAACTCGACACTGCGCATGAATTCTGTTTACTACAGGGTCGATTTTCGTACCGTGGAGTCGGTTTCCGCGTGGATAGAGTGCTGATTAACATCACTGAGGAGGACTGCCACCCACTTCCGGTGGGCTACTCCCATGCCGACATTCTGGCGGAGCAGGAGCAGCAGCGCCGCGCACCCTCCGCCCTGCCCCAGCGACGCAACCCTCGCGTGCTACCACCGCCGCTGCCACGGGGCTCCTACCGCCACGAGAACCCGTTCTGTGCCGAGCACGTGGACGTGACCAACTTCCTAAACCTCAATTCCTACGTCAACCACGACGACTTCTGTCTGGCATACGTGTTCACGTACCGCGACTTCGCCGGTGGCACTCTGGGTCTGGCGTGGGTAGCCGAGCTGGGTGGCTCAGGCGGTGTGTGCGAGAAGCATCGCCTCATGCGCGAGGGCAGTCAGACGGTGAAAAAGAGTCTGAACACGGGCGTGGTTACCCTCCTCAACTACGGCGCTCGGGTACTTGTTGATTTCCTGCAAGCCGCTGCTTTTCCCATATGTTGACTGGTGCTAGTGCTGAGAGACTTATCGGTTGCATTCATCTTATCATCTGGACATTTAAGTACGCTCCTCTGTCGTACCCGCTCCTCTACTAGTCGTTCCAATAACGCGGGAATCCAAAATGCTCAGGGGTCTCTGGCACTTTGAAAGTTTTGTCCGATTCCCGGTGTACTTACTGAGCATTTTAGGCATGCCTTTCGTTCTGTTATTTGACGGGGATTCAGCGTTAAGCTAGTCCAGTAACCCTTGCGTGAGCTCTGCATCTGTTTTCTCTGAAGGTTTCAATGAAGATCTCGCAGTTGACCTTTGCGCACGAGATGGGTCACAATTTGGGAGCGAAGCACGACGACGATTTCAAGGACGACATTCCGTCATGCCTTCCATCAGTGGACGATCCGAAGGGAAATTACATCATGTTCGCCAGCGCTACAGGCGGCGACAAGGAAAACAACAACAAATTCTCCACCTGTTCGGCCAACTCGATTGCTCGACTTCTCAATCAGGTTCTTAAGGTATTTGCACAAATACCTCAGGCAACTGTTTTGTGCATTTCGACTGACAACTGGTCACCAACAACACTCTCGCTTTAAACTGCCTTATCCTCGGTCTTGTGGTCGTGTCTTTCGCATTATTTTCTTTTTTTGTAGCGTAATTGTGCTTAAACTGACGTAGTTACTGCTGTGGTATCGCATTGTTTTTGACCATATCATTGGTATTTTGCCCGCACAGGGTGATTCAAACTGCTTTTTCACGTCGAATGGTTCTTTCTGCGGGAACCGTCTGACAGAAGAAGGCGAGCAATGCGACTGCGGTTTCACTCGCGAGGACTGCGACGACGTTTGCTGCTACCCCAAGGAATCGGAGGAGCCTTGTAAACTGAAGAAATTCGCCAATGCTGGGGAGTCCACAGTTGAGGTATTGGCTAGTTTGTTTGCCCCACATTCGGCCCCCCTCCTCTCACGATCCAACTTCTGCCCCGTGTTTGCATTTTCAGGGCCATAATTTTCTTGATTGATCTGTTTTGTGCACAATATTAACTTCAGGTGCAACATTTAATCATCCCTCCTTGTCCTGGGGGCTTTATTAGATGTATGAATTAATTTCTGCGTTCAGCCACATGGGTTTGCCCAGTATGAGAATTTCGTGAAACAAACTTAGGCGGGTCAACCTACTGCTGCTGAATTAAACATTAGGTGTGTGACTTAATTTGTACAAATTTTCCAGCAAGTTTATGTAATATAAGAAATAGAGAACAGTGGCACTCTCAGGTAACGTGCAGATGTCGTCGCGAAAGAGACTTGCAGGCTTCGAGGCAACAAAGTCATCGAGGACGAATCCACGCACATCGTCTAGCGTTTGAGGAACTGTTCATCCACTAAGGCGGGCTACTGCTGCTGCTGCTGTATTGACCGGAACAAAGGACAGTTGGAAGGAGGACCAGATGTGAGGAATATGCCACGTATGGGAGAACTCTCCATTTCAAGTTCAAGAGGGTCGAGCAGGAATATGACTTGCCAGCTTCCTTGCCCAGCAAATGACCTGTCCTGGTCAAGTTGTTCGCTCAGTTTGTTCGATTATGTCGGCTGTAGAGTTTCGCAATCACCATCTGACCAGTTTGCAGGAGTTCTCTAAAAACGTACGCTCTTCATGTCCCACCAAATACACAGGAGAACCGTCGTTAAGTAGATGCCCTGTTCCCGCGTCGATGGGTTGCCTGGTATCTGCTCACGAAGCATAACACCTGGGATTTTCTTGAAAAAATGCACTTTTCATTACCCGTCAAAATCTTCCACAAGAAGTCCATTCACTGCTTTTTGCCAGCCGGCAAGCTGTGGAAGGCATGTGCCCATACGCTGGCCTGGATTGTGTTCGGTCAACACATTTGCAACTCAACCTCCAAGTCTTTGATTTTTTGCCCATTTGGCACAAACGCTGTTTGGGTTAAACTAAGTGAGCAGCAAGGTCTTGTGGTGCTTGCGTTGAGTCATCATCCATTAGGGCGTGCACCTCCGCACCTTCAAACCTTCGAGGCTGCTGTGCGAGGCGTGGCTGGTCACCAAGATCAAAACCACTACTTCTAACACGTTTGTACCAACAATTACATGTTTCGCCCAAATATCTCCGCGTCCTTGCTCTACTAGGTTCGATGTTCGCCAACCGCGGGCGAGTGCTGCACATCGACGTGTCAGTACCGCGACTCAAAGCACCTCTGTCGCAGCGCGGGTGAGTGCCACAAGCCCTCCTACTGCTCCGGTCGCAGTGCCCAGTGCCCTCCCCCCGAAAATATTCCTGACGGAACACCCTGCAAGGTTTGTTTACTTCTGGCATCACACCTCCTCAACCTTCCTTTAATGCATTCCCAACTTCCCTGCGCACTCTTTAACTCCTTTGGTACCTAAGTCTGCCGATGTTTAACCGACTACTAATTCTGTGTTTCGGTTCTGTGTTGCTGCGAAAATAAGTTGCTCTTTTGACCTTCTCGCGGTGTCCTGCGCACCAATATTTGAACTTTCCACGAGTTTTGTGGTTTGCCAAAGACACACGTCATTACAGATCTTTCAAATGCATTCCCCTTTCAAAGAGACACGATCTGGTTCCCTTTTGCTTAGGAGGCTGCCCTTCTAATGCGACTATTGGCACAACAAATCAGCAGACAGTTTAATGTGTAGCTAAAACGGTTAAGTACATTTACCAAAGGATTCCAATGTTGTTCGAAAAATCGAATAATTCTTGGATTGCATCAACCTCGTCCTGCATGTTGCATGGTTCTACCTCGTAGCCAAACCAAGTACCGTGATGATGCTCGTTAATTTGATATTATCAGTCGGCAGTGGGAGTAGGTACTTTTCGTCTTTTCAATTCGTATCACATGAGCTGCAAATGTTCTCTGTGGTAGAAAATGCATTGGAGTTTCGATGCGCACCTCGACGACGTACTGTGACTGTGCACCGCACTTTGCGATCAACCTTTCACACAAATTTTGTTTACAAAGCGCGCCTTTTGAACCTGGGTTTGAAACAACACCACTTGGTTTCGTTTCAATCACTATGTAGTAGCAGTGGGCGTTTATGGAAGGAGACACTGATTTGCCTTCTTGTTTGCTGTAGAACTTCACACGGATCTGTAAATCGGGCGAGTGCTTGGGGTCAATCTGCGAGCGAATCCCCGGCTGGCAGGAGTGCTCGCTCACACGCAACGAGGACGTCACGCCGGAGTTGATGTGCTACGTGGCCTGCCGCGAGAACCGCACCGGCGCCCCGTGCATCAGCACCATTCAACTCGAAACCGTGAGTGGGCTTGCACTTGCTCAAAAACCGCTTTATTTTCGGCCCTGCCAGCCTGTTTTTCTCTTGCTTCAACTGGTCGGCGGTTGTGACATAAGTCGAAGTAGCCGTTATACGTTCCTCCCGGATCCCCTTTTAGAATATGCGCTAAAGAGAATGCTAACAAATGCCAGGTCTATTTTTAAAAAAACCGACTTCATTTGGAATGCAGCCCTTTGCTCCCGGCGATGCTGGCGTGACCCACGATTGCCATTTTTATGTGCACGAGTTAGCTACTTCAGTAACTACCTCTGACTCCCCCTTGTGCGCGAGTCGGGCGAAAATTTCCCTGGAGATTTCCACCAATGCTGCATAACTACTTGATTAAAGTCGTCAGCGATTTTCTTTCCGCGTTACCACGCGCCCGTAAGAATTTGTCTGAAGTATTTCTCATGGTCTTTTACCAATGAAGTTAATTTATGTATCCTGAAGAATTGTTATCAAATACATCACTGTCTACGGGACATATAATTATTTATAGCCAATTTTTTTAAACAAAGCACAGTCTCCATCCAGGGTAGTCTACAAAGTTAATAATTACCCGATAAGATTTCACCGCTTGTGTGTTAATTGGTTATCCTAGAGAAGCATTTGCAGTGACGTAGCGTTGATGTTTCCTACCGCCGAAACCAACCATTATCAGTCAAAGACTCCCCAAATTTGTAATTATGTCACGGTGACTGTGGTGATTTGCTGATGAGCGAAGTAATCACTGG